TTTAAACATATAAAAAATAACAAAAAGCCAAAGTGCGGCAAAAAGTTATTTAATTTACACCACTGTAATTCTCACATGAAATGAAACAAAGGCTGCGTTGCCAAGTTAAATAAAGCTGCCAGCGCCTCCTAGCGTTACGTCTTGTAAGCTTAGTTTATATTATTAGTATTAAGTTTAAATTATTAGTATTACTGTTTTAAATATATATTATTTAGTTAAAATATTATATATTTTAGTAAAACTAATATATATCTAAGAAAATGAGTTAAAATATATATATTTCAAACAAATTATTTATATTAAAAAAAATATTTATATTTTTACAAAAAATATTTATATTTTTACAAATAATTCTATATTTTATAAATCATAATTATGGCACAAACGGCGCCTCATAAAGGAGTGTCTAGAAAAGTTAATAAACGAGTTACATACTATATTTTTTCTACTACAAATATCTACTTATTATTATCTGAAAATATTTGGATATATCCAATATCCTATAGAGCGAAATCTATAAAACAATAGATTAACCAACTTGGCAATCTGTATTACCGGCGCGCCGTTGAAAATGTCAAATTTTTATGTGTAAATCGAAATGCATCCCTTGAAAATAGACCATTTAATCCGATATAAAAGCAGTTTTTCACAGTGAAAGTAAAGACAATATTTTGTGGGCACTCCACGGTGAAGTCTTCACCCGAAATTAAGTTCAATCTAGTTTACTGCCGGCGAAATTAAAAGGCCAGTACAATGTTCAAATAAACTTTTCAAGTATTGCCGTTAAGAAACTATTTATAATAATACTTTTGTATATTTCATTTTAATGATTGTATGACATTTGACAACTGTCAACTAACTTCAGACCTGCCTAAAAACCTGTTGCTAACTTTAGCCCGTGACCAAAACGGCATATGTGTCAATCCAAATGAAAACACCAAAAATGAATTTAAAAGTGCGCTGCATAATTTTTTATTGTAATGAAAAAATTTGAGGATGATCTTTTAGGTGTCAAATATAAAAATCCATTGCCGTTTTAATTTTTTGTTGCTTTACTTTTATTTGGCACCCCTTAGAAGTCTGAAATAGTGTCAATTTCTTACTCTCTTATAGTGGGCCAGAACTTTTTTTCTGTGACAAATATTGAAATAATTTTAATTTTGTTTTACTGTCCAGTAAGTGTGTTTTCGATATAAATTATTATTATCCAATTAGTTAATCTCATAAAAGAATGGTAAACCACTAAAGATTCATGATAATTTGCCAATTTTTGTGATTTTTGTCTGGCTCCTGTGCCTATTCTACTGAATTTAGAAGGTTCATTTTTTTCAGGTATAAAGTACTTATACAATAGAAAACGTAACTATTATTTTAAGTTTCTAGACTATCAATTTCTTTATTAAAAAAATTATTGAAAATTGATAATTCTCAAAATTAGCCAATTTTGCCCTCAGAAATCATTATGTTGAGGAAAAAATAAAAATCTGAAACTTTCAGGAAATGTAGTCCCCACCTTCATCTTTTCAGTCCAGTTAGTCTTGTTTTGTTATTTTTATCCATGTAAAAGATATAATAATTTTTTTAATGCCAGTTAAGAAGCGATATTGTTAGTTTTATTTATAATTTAAAATTTAGATGGCTTTGACTTTGTCAATTGATGTTTGATGGAGAAATGTCAGAATGCGAAAAATATTTCATAAATATTATTTGTGCGTATTTCTTTGGTAAATTTTGTATATAACATAATATGTCATATTATGTTATATACAAAACTTTTTAAAGTCACCAAAGGAATACCACAAATAATAATTATGAAATATTTTTGTTAGTTCAACCATTCCACGCTACTCGGGAATTTTTGTAGCGTCCGTTACAATAAAAAATTGTGAGTAAAACTACCGTAATTATTATGCTTATAAGTTTAAGCCTAATTATTACAAGCATAATAAACATGTTTGCAATATTAACTATTGTAAAGGTATTTCATTTAATTACGGTAGCATTTAATTACAATTTTTTATTGTAACGGACGCTACAAAAATTTCCGAGTAGCTTGGAATGGCTGAACTATCAAAAATATTTCATAATTATTACTTGTGGTATTCCTTTGGTGACTTTAAAAAGTTTTGTATATAACATATGACATATTATGTTATATACAAAATTTACCAAAGAAATACGCACAAATAATATTTATGAAATATTTTTCGCAGTTCTGACATTTCTCCACCAAACATGAATTGACAAAGTCAAAGCCATCTAAATTTTAGATTATAAATAAAACTAACAATATCGCTTCTTAACTGGCATTAAAAAAATTATTATATCTTTTACATGGATAAAAATAACAAAACAAGACTAACTGGACTGAAAAGATGAAGGTGGGGACTACATTTCCTGAAAGTTTCAGATTTTTATTTTTTCCTCAACATAATGATTTCTGAGGGCAAAATTGGCTAATTTTGAGAATTATCAATTTTCAATAATTTTTTTAATAAAGAAATTGATAGTCTAGAAACTTAAAATAATAGTTACGTTTTCTATTGTATAAGTACTTTATACCTGAAAAAAATGAACCTTCTAAATTCAGTAGAATAGGCACAGGAGCCAGACAAAAATCACAAAAATTGGCAAATTATCATGAATCTTTAGTGGTTTACCATTCTTTTATGAGATTAACTAATTGGATAATAATAATTTATATCGAAAACACACTTACTGGACAGTAAAACAAAATTAAAATTATTTCAATATTTGTCACAGAAAAAAAGTTCTGGCCCACTATAAGAGAGTAAGAAATTGACACTATTTCAGACTTCTAAGGGGTGCCAAATAAAAGTAAAGCAATAAAAAATTAAAACGGCAACGGATTTTCATATTTGACACCTAAAAGATCATCCTCAAATTTTTTCATCAAAATAAAAAATCACGCAGCGCACCCCATTTGGTGTTTTTATTTGGAATGACTCATATGTGATCTTTCATTCAGAATGATTTTATTTATAATTAAATTTCGCCATTTTTTGGTTCAGCTTTGGTCACATTTTAACGTTTTGATTACGTGTCCACTCCAATGTGTCTACGAAATAAACAACAAAGCAGGTCAAATAAAATATTGCTTCATAAAAATTATCTTGTCGCTACTGCAACAGCCTATTTATATTATTTATAACGATATTATTTTTTAGTTGATTTGATTTCTTATTGTGAGAGCAATTGACTTTAATTTAGCCGAAATTCCAAATTTAGATAATGGAGTTGAAACGTTTGGGTAAAATTTATATAGAACTAAAAGAGAAATCAATTTGAAATTTTGGTTACACTAGCACAATTTGATCTATTTTTTATATTTTTAATGCGCTGGCACTTCCGGTTGAACCGGTGACTATCTTTATCAATTTTTGGATATTTTAAGCATCTACACACATCACAAAAATAAGCAATATGAAATTAAAAAAATTATATTGAAAAATTAAACAAAACTAAAGTAATCGTTTAAATTGTAGCCCGTGTTTGTTCACGATACAAAATAATTTTTCAATCGTCATATTTAGAATATCACGATTAGTATTGTTACATCAGCCATCATGGGACAATTAACTAGATAGTTAATTTTCTCATGGCTGATGTAACAATACGTTACTGCCATCATACATATTCTGCCAATTTATACATAAATTCATATTATTTGTCAAATATGAAATTTAAAACAATCCCAAGCACACTAAGTGTAACAATGGAGTAGTCGAATGAGCGTTTTTTCACATTTTTGGTGATATATTTGTAAATATATATTCATATATTATATCACGAGGACTATGAATTTAATCGGTTAAACTAGGCTCAGTAGTAGTAAATAATTTAATAAAATCACGAGACCGCGTAGCGGTCGAGGGGTTTTATTTTTAATTATTTTGCATGAAACTATTTTCCAAAAAGAAAAATCAAATAAAAAACTTACTGAGCATAGTTTGACAGATTAAATTTATAGTCCTCGTGATATAATATATGAATATATATTTACAAATATATCACCAAAAATGTGAAAAAACGCTCATTCGACTACTCCATTGTTACACTAGATTATTTCTCGAATTAAAGGAAACTATTTGACAATTCATAAAATCTGACGTATGTGTCAAAATTTATAAATATATTTTTTTTTAAATTCCATTAATTTAATGTATGTAATAAGTAATAATTGATATTTCGTAAGCTAGATAACTTATTTTTTATTGTTTTTTAAAAAATGTTTGTTAAAACTTGTAAATAACACCATAAAATCGTAAACAAAAATCCAATATGGAGGCTAAAATTTAATCGCTGTTAAATAGTTCTAGTGATTTAATCGCTTATTTAAACGAAATTTATTCGAAAATTCAAGGCTTTTGATTGGTTCATATTATAATGATGGAAATAATCATTTGAAAAAACTGTCACTTTCGCATAAAAATTTTAGAAAAATAGATCACGCAATAGCTGTAATCAAAAGTTTAGGTTTATGTCCCTTTTAGGTCTCTATAAACCTCTAATAGATCAGTTAGGTGAATCACCCTGTATATGCTAAACTTATGCTTAGTATTTTTTCGAAAATTCATTTTTTAAATTATTATAAAAGGGTATTTTTTTTATATAAACCACTGAATGAATCAGTTAGTTGAATCAACCTGTATATTCAATGTGATTTCTATTTTAATATTAAAATCTTCAACCAGGTTATACGTGAAGAAGTAAATTTTTTAATGTGATTTAAAAAAAATAATTTAAGGCCTTCTATTAATTACTCCTTTAAATAACCTTGGGAATGTTTGCCTATGAAAGTATATTTAATTGATTAACATACTTCTCTTAACACATGTCATTTTTCATCTTTTGTCTTTTAAATTATTGATAAATTGATATACATAAGTGTTTAATACTTCTCTCTAATTAATATTTGACAAACAAAAAAATTATAATAATTCCGTCCTAAAAATACGATCACTCACCATTCACATGATTTTTTTATTGTAAAATTTATATCGGCTTTGAACTGAAATATTTGACTTTGATATTAAAAGGTCTTATTTAAAATAACGCAGTCATTTAAACGAAATTCCGTAAGTTTATTATCCAAAAAATAAAAATAATAGAATTTAATAAACATTAATTATTGACATTTTGCTGTATCCTTTCCAACAGCATTTCGATTCTGTCTTTCATTATAGGTTGACCTCTTTTCGTCTTTTTGTTAAGCCTTTTAAATTTCTCATTCTTTTTCTTTTTGTATTCCTCTATGGCTTTCTCTTTTTCCGCCTTCACTTTCATGACTTCCTCCTTTTTCTTCAGCTTTTCTTCTTTTAACCTTTGAAACTCCATGTGGGCTTTTTTGAAGGCTTTGTTTTTCTTTTGTTTCGCGTTTATGGCGGGTTCTTCAAATACTTCTGGTTCGCTTATTGGAAGTTCCTTCTCGTCGTCGATGGACTTGTTGAGATTGTTTTCGTTTTCTTCGTTTGTTCTGCCCGCGTCATCTTCATCTTCACTTGGGTTTTCTTCGTAGATTTTTTTGACGTCCAATTTGGGCTCGTCGTCCTTAAGGTTTCGGTAATACCCTCTTAATACTGCCTTTTTTCGTTTATCTTCCCACTGGTCTAACTTATACTTTTTACTGTATTTTTTTAACCTCCACGCTTTTTTATCGAATGGTCTGCGCTCTTTTTGTGATTCTGTATTAACTTTTTTATCTGGCTTTTCGGATTGTTTTGATATTTCGTTTTTAGCGGAAAAAGGCTTTACAAAGAAATCATTCGAGCCGTTCGTACTAGGTTTTAAAAAATCTTTTTTAGGTTTTAAGTCTGTTGGTTTTGCTTTGTTATATTTATTGGGGAACTTGTTTTTAGCTTTAAACTCCGGTTTGGATTTGTCAAAAAAGTTATCCCTTTTTCTAAAGGGCCTGTCAGGAGATACTCTATTATTTTTGCCCATTTTTTGTTACAATAGTTAACAATTTAATTAATTGAAGATATGAACCTGAAATAAAGCGTGCTTTATATAAAAACAATATTCTTTGTATGGAAAACGTCAACGTACGTTTAAAAAATAAACATCTGAGAGAAGAAATCATTGTTGTCATAGACAAAAGGATTATAAATCGATATTGATACTAATTGAATAACAAATTATGCTTGGGGTCAAAGTTTATCTTTAAATGTTGCTGACATTAGTTAATCAAGAAAGAATGACCATTGCCTCTACAATTTGCTTTAGGCACCACAATTTAATATTTGATAAATAATGCAATTCTGTAAAAAATTGTGAAAAAGGTCTGTTTCTATGATAACTTAAATATGTTTAGTTTTTTACATTGACCCAATTTGGTGCATTTTAACATATTGATATAAAATAAAACAATATAGTAAATTCGTTATAATTAAATTATCAAAGTTCCGCCAGAATGAATTTAATTAATTTCGTTTATGACGGTTTGCATACTTATTTCACTACTGTACTTATGTGTTTGAAGCTAGAAATATCCATGATCAGCTGCCAATTAGTGACTAATGGCCAAATAAATTACTTAGTCATAATTTACTTTGTATTAAAATTAATTAACAGTGTAAGCACCAAATTAGATAGGTATAATACTTGCACGCTTTATTTCACATATCTACAATTTTGAAATAGAGGTGGAATTAAACAAAATGACGTGACGGATGGCTTACAATATGGTGAAGCATAGAAAAAGAATGCCACAAGAATACTTTTTTTTTTAAATAACTAATCGATGCCTGATGATTATTGATGATTTGTAGAGGACAAGGTCAGTTTCGGGACATGTTGGGTGTTAGATGAACGATATTTTTATATTATCGCTGGTGCATTATGCCCAATAACACAAAATTACACAACAAAGAAAAGAACTCGTCGATAATCACCAGACGACAATATAAAAATAGCCTCAACTATATACAATGTAGGTAAAACAGCCATCTTATCTTACCTTAGGAAGCCACCCTTTGGGCCGTTTGCAGTTTTTTGGCGGAATCTTGAGGTTTTGGAAGTACTTGTGTGTAAAAAACACGTGGTGCCTTTGTCAAACGGATAATAAAAACTCAAATAAATTACACTGGGTATTCACCATGCCGCTACGTAAAAACACAACTCACGGAAGGAACGATTGTAGTCGTTCTACGAAGGGATTTCGGATGGTGGCGCCACTGTAGGCTCGCCTACTTGACAATCGATCGAACTTCTACAGTCACGTGAGTTTATTATCCATGGTTGCCTAACTACCTAAAATACGTTTGGAATTAAGTTATAAATCAAGAAATTTTAAAAACTTTAAATAAAATCTTAAATTAAAATTTTGGTTATAAATGCATGTTTTGTACTTCTTAAAGTAATGATATGTTATGGTGTTTTTGGTAGATATATTATAAAAACAATGATTTGGCGACAAATTTTGATTATAAAAAATATCAGTTTAAAAAGAATTAATACCTATAATGTTGGTAAGTTTGTAAGATAACTACTAACCCTTTAAGTTTTTTATAAATATAATTTTATACGGGGTGTCCAAGCAGATTTTGAATTATACGGTTAAATAATAAATAATTTTTTTGATTTTCCTAAAATTCTCATAGAACTGTTCAAAAAACTGCGTTTGTTAAAGTGTATGGATAGAGTTGGGCTCGAGTTTGGTCCCTGAATCACACAATGATTTTTGTTTTTATTTTTTCATGTCTAAAACAATACACACACAGTTATACAAGTAACTAATTTATAAAAAAAGTATAGCAAACAAGTTAAAATTCTTTATTAACAACAAAGTTGTGATTTTAAACAAACTGTCAAGAAAATACACAGCGAGTTTTTTAAACTTCCTTAGATCTTTTTTATACAGGGTGTCTCAGATTTAAGTCTGGAAAATGTAAAAGTCAAAGTAAGAAGAAGAGTTTATGCTTTAAATCTTGGTTTTCAAGATACGAGGTGTTAAAGTTAATAAAAAAAGTCACGCCACTGCTATTTCATTTGTTTGATATTATAACTAGATTAAGCAATGAAAAGTACAACTTTTTGTCTGTTACCTTTTTTTTATTGAAATCATTCGCTCGTGACCATTATTTTTTCAGGGGCGAAACGAATTTTATTTTTGTCTTGAAAACAAGATATAGAAAAATGCAGGAGATAAATATTTTTAATTATAGTAGGCAATTACAGCTGTAATTACTATAATTAAAAATACAACTATAGTATAACAGTTCCCAAATTTTATTTATATATATCCAGTTAGGATGCCCCAGCGCCGCCTCTGGATTAATTAAATTAAATTTAATTGCATTAAATTAAGCCCTTTATTCATTACTAACCAAAAGTTTTTAAAATTTTGAAAAAAAAAATATTTCATTGTTAAAATGAGTTTGTAGGTTGTTAATTTCATTTTGTAAAATTTTAACATAATTTTTGTAGAAAACCAGGATTTGTTTTTATTTTAACAGGAAAATATTTTACCGAATGTTTCAAATTTCAAAGGTTATAGATTATTTTGTTAATGTCTAACAAATTATTTTGTTTAAAAAGTACACGTGATTTCAGGCAGTCAATCAAAACATTTCCCACTGACAATACGCATCAACTACTGTTGTAGTAATGATAATTATATTGTACGAAACTTCTTTATAATTTGATGATTTCAGAATGGTGTGTTATTTAATTGTGTGTATGTTATTTTTGTGTTCATTTATGTAGGTATGTTTTAATTTTTTTGTTTAGGAAATTGATTAATAAAGCAACATTTCTTATACAAATTCTTTTCATTTTCCAACAAATACGTACTTTTGTCACTGGGTCTACAAAAAGGTTTGTAAAAATAAGGTCACTTCCCCCCAATTTTCTACTTCTTAAATATAAATGGTATAGGTGGGTTGTTTTCAAAAAACAACCGCCTTCCGCTGTCCGTAAGTTTGAATTCCAATAACTTTGTTAAAAATTATCGGATCTTATTGATTTAAAAACCAAGTGAAAGCCTAACAAGCCCTTAGTAAACTCTTTCAGAAAATGTTTGTTTAGTTATTTCAGAATAATTTTTTTTTAATTTTGAAACTTGTGAAACACACATTTTCGCATGTCCCATTAGCGTTTAATAAAACTTACATACATGTTTTTTGAATAACCAGAACTTTGTGTTGCTTTATAGCAATCCATAACATCCTTAGTTAATACAGTAAACAATTTATATATAAAATAATTAATTTTAAACTACTTTTTTTAAATTTGATTCATGTCCCAGACATTTTTTCCGTTGCGTTACGTCCGTCGCGTTACCGATAGAATATTAAAAAAAACATATATATGGCAACTTTTTTGGCACTCACGTGATCAACAAATGATGTTCGGACGTACACATTAGGTACCCAGCTGAATTTATTTATTCATTCAGGAAGAAGATATCGGTTGAAACAGGTGCGGGTAACGCGAATGTAATAATTGTTTTTCAAACTTGTTTGTCAAAAAATAATAAAAATAAGGTAAGAAAAATACTATTTTTCAAATTTTAAGTTTATTTTAGGGCACTAAAGCTCATTGAGAGTAATTAATGACTGTAATGTCTTATTATTATTTTTTAAATATGATTTCACAAAACTTTGTCCACTGCGTTACCGAGTCCATTATGTTACCTTATGGTAACGCAATGGAATTTAGGGTAACGCAATAGAATTTTTCGACAACAAAGTGGATATTTACCGTCGCTTTTATTAAAAGTAGTTTATGATAAACCAATTTAAAATTATTTGTGATTACAACTCATGATATAGATTACATCCCAGGGAAAATTCCACGCAATATACAAGTACTAAAAGGGCCTTCACCAGCTTATAGTCAAAGAAAAAGGGTGTCTACAATTTAGAAATCTAATTTGTTATCCTGCAAGTGAGCACCACTACAAGGGATTTTGTTTATGCATTACTCTAAAATCGTACCACCCTTTATAGTTCCTTGTTTACGTTATCTGATTAAGTCCTTTGTGTACCCCAGTCCGTTGTGATACCAATGTCTATTTCGTTACTTTTTTTGTTAAAAAAAATACTTAAAATAATTTTTATACACCATCACTTGGTAATGCGTGTTTATAAATTAGAGTTTAACTCACTAATTCAGTGACTAAAAGAAAATATTAATGGTATTTTTTTTTAACAAAGAATCGGAATGGTTTCTTTTAAAAAGAAACTTAACGAACATACATATTTAAAAAAGCATAAAATTTTTAATAAAAAATAAAATAAAACATTGGAGTCAAAAGTTTGTGAACTAAGTACATTTTATTTCAAATTATTTTTATAACAACTTTTTTTATTGAATTAAATTTTGGATTTCAAATTGGTAACACAGTGGAGATATATAAAGCTTTTTGAAAAAAACGTAAAAAAAATTAAAAGGTGCAGTGCCTGTCTTAAATGTAAGTAAACAAAACTCTAAACATTTATAAAAATCTAATCAAAAGTCAATTTAAGCAAAAAAGAATTTTGATCTTCATTTTCCTGAAAGCGGGTGTTTCTCTAAAATGACCCAGGTAGATAAAGTAAATTTTTAATAATAAAAAAATGTAATTTTTCTGTTTCTTTTTATTCGTCAAAAATATCATATTTTTTCATCTGGTATTTCAAACGTGTTAGTAATCATTCACCGTGGTTAGTTTCTAACCCTTTGCGATGCAAGGACCTACATATCCTAAAATGCTTTTGTTTTAATTTTAGTTCCTAAAGTTTTCTCAATGGCTTCCACCATAATAAGTACATTTGGTAGTAGATACCACTACAAATTTTGGCTTCTAATCCAAAATGCCAAAACTGTCGTAGTATGGCAGTAGGTGTTCCATATGTTTCCTGTATCTGTCGTTGTTGTAGGCATGGTAACGGAATCCTTCCTTGCTTCCATCTTTGATTATATTTTCGAATGAAGCGTCCTTTCTGTTCGCGTCGGCTTTCACGAATGCCAAAACTGTTGATGCTCCCATCAAACCTTAAAAATATACTTTTTGAAAACAAGATTTAGTAAAATGTCTAGAAGAATATTTTCAAGGTTTAAATTTTAAATTGTTGACACTTTTGGATTTTCAGGACACCCTGTATAATGTGGAATGTTATTTTTACCGTAAAATGCTCTGTAGTTGTAGTCCTTTTTGAATTGTTCTCTGGTAGGAACTCTTTCCAAAGAATACTGCAATTTTGCCAAAGTAGCTATCAATTGTGCATAATAATGATCCAAAATGATTTCAATACTTTCACATTTAACTTCCACTTTAGTGCTAGTGGCGATAAAATAGTGCAGATCTATTGCTGGACTCGTGAAAATATTCATTTGAAAGTCAATCTACAAAAATAACTTAAAAAATTATTTAATTTGTTTTGCTGGCTTACAAATTTCATGTCCTTTAGTTTTCCATCGGGGTTATATGCAAACATCATGTTGTTAACCCATAAATCACCATGGTTTAGGATGTGGAAACCACCAAGTCTGCGTTTTTGAGCTTTGAAGCCACGCTCCAGTGCTTCTTCTCCCAAGGCTTGTAGTTTATAGCCATATTTTTCATAACCTAATAACATTTTTAGTGTTTTTACAAATAACGTTACTCAAAAATATATAAAATATATTTACCTGGCCATCTTGAGCATGCATCTATTACAGCTTGATATCCAGCCGCGACCCAATCTCTTACTAATTGGTTATCCCCATACAGACCTTCTGAATAATGTTTAACTTTGGAGGGATCCTAAAATCACACTTAAATGTACAAAGCTATAGGTATCATAAATTATAACTATAGTTTACAAAATCGAAAAAAAATTCTGCCCACCATTTCCCATTATTTATTTATTTATTTTTCCTTTTTTTCAATTTTTTTTTTTAATTTTCGAAGGTGTTGTGACGTTTTTGAGTATAGCTTGAAATCTAATTGATGCATTTGGTCAAAGAAGCCCTTAAATTGAAGGGATTTGAGCCCTCTAAAACTTTCTTTTACATACTTTTGATATCGGATAGGTATTTTGACGCTAGCGATTTTAATAACTTAAAAAATTCGTTTTTATGGCAAAAATTGAGGTCGAAAATTTACATATCGTCCTGGGAAAGGTTTAAATCAAAAGGATAACTTCAGTTTGAATTTTTTTTTTCGTGAAGCTGACATTTTTACAAAAAAAACAAGCTAATGTTGATAAAAATACATGAAAAAATGGCGAAGTTATGAACCAAAATTCAGTTTTTTGACGATATTTATTTTATTTTTATTCTTTTATTTCGTAATATGTTTTTTTTTTAATGAAAACCTAATTAAAGTGCATGATTGGAATTTTTTAAGTTTTTTACGTAATTTTTTCACCGAAAACATTATATGAAATTTAAATTTGACAACAACGCAAACGTGAATTCTTTTTTTTTCTCTTGTTGGCATAGTGACATTTTACTGCTATTTTTTGATATTTTAACAGAGTATTTTTATCATGGTTTTATTTAGTTAATAAAAAGTGTAAAATAAGTAAATAAGTGCGTAAATAACCCGGACAACCGGGCGACGTTAGTGATGAGCACGGAGAACGTTTTCACAGCAAATGAAGGCTATGGAGCATCGGTATCACGGCTTCTGGGATGCAGCCATGATGGGTGATTACATTTGGTCTCTTATACGAGAAACGGAATACGAAAGCAACAAAAAACAAAAAAGGAGCCAGGTTTTTTTTAAACCTATGCTTATTACAACAAAATAAAACTTTCAATATCATCAATGTTCAATATTTATTGTTCAATATTCAATATATAATTTAATTTCAATATTTAATGTTTAAAATAAAAATCAATGTTCAATATTAAACTTTATAACTCAATAAAATGAAGAAATCGTAAAAAATCTCGAAAAAACTGAATTTTGGTCTTTTACTGAAAAATTCATAACTTTGCCATTTATCCATGGATTTTCCCAGAAAGATATGTCAATTATTGACCTCGATTTTTGTAAAAAAAAAAAGGACATTTTCAACTTTATAAAATCGCCAGTATCGAACTACTGAGCCGATAACAAACTATACAAGAGAAAGTCGTAGATGGCTCAATTACCTTTGATTTAAGTGCTTGTTTGGTTAAATCGATCAACTAGAGCTCGAAGTATACTCTAAAACGTCAAAACCCCTCAGAAAATTAAAAAAAAAAACAATTGAAAATTCATATCTCGAAAAGGCTTCCATGAAAAATGGAAAAAAGTGATAATAGTGAGACATGGTGGGCAAAATGGCTGTAAACTAGTGTTATTACCTTTTCTTACCTTTTCATACATAATAACAGAAGCAGCATGCATTCTTGCCATTTTCTCCACAACCATAAAACAGTGCTCCAAATCGAATCCAATATGTCGAGGCAACACATCGTATCCAGTTTTCGTAAGATCCTCCAAAACGATAACTGCGTGTGGTTCAATGGTTGCGAAGAGACATCTTGAACATAATGTAAAATCCTCTCCTAAAATATACAACTTTTGTTCTTTTGATCCAAGGTTTCAATGTATATCTATTACCCAAAACATCATAGATAGCCGGGAAGGTTTTGGTGAACATTTCGGCTTCTTTTTCGAATATCATCAGTTTTTTCGCGATGTCCTGCTTTACGCCGCCATCTTCATTTCCACATTTTACTATGACTGATATGCAGTCCTTTTTTCCTCTTAAACAATATTTATTTTAAATTAGATAAAGTGGAAAAAATCTTTGATTTTGATTATTTTTTTAACAAAACTTCGTCATTGTAGCTAATTTATATAATTTTGTTAATAAACAAATGCAGATCTTGCTCTTTTCTTAAGGAATTTGAATTTTCTTTCAAGTACTGGAAAGACTGAACTTTTTTCGCACGCCCTTTGCATTAATGATAATTAATATTGTTTAGCGCAACCGCTCGAGCCCGATCGACTGGCCGAAATTCATTTAAAAAACAACAAATGAAGATTTTTTAAGTTAATTTTAACACCATATTTTTGTGGTATTATTATTGATCCAATTTTTAACTCAATTGGCTCAGTGGCAGCGATATATTGGTTTAAATGATTTAAATCTTGTTAAAATAAATTAAAAATTAAATTATTTTAAAATTTTTTTAAAATATCATTATGAAATTTTAACACAAGTTTTATATACAGTGTTACTCACAACATGTGTTAAAATTTCATAAAGATGCATTTAAAAATTTACAAAATAATCTAATTTTATCTACCTTTACAAGATTTTTATACTTGAATCAATATAAAATCGCCGGTTTATCAATCTCTGGTTAAGTTCCAGTTAGTCTATGTGACAGTTAAATTCTATATCGATCGTTGTGAGAACAATGGTGTCCATGGAGATTATCTGCCAGATACATAACTAATGCAACTTTAACAAGACATTGATAAACCTATTTTAATAATAATAATAAACATATTTTTATAAAATACTAGGCCTACTATGTCAGTTTTTGAGTGTAAAGTTCATATTAGCGATTAAAAAAAATCTATGCATAGCACTGGATTCACCACCCCTATACTAAATTTTATTGAAAAATTTTTAGTAGGAACGATTTTGTATCCAAATTAAAAATCCACAATAATTACTATTTGCAAAAATTTATTCTGTCAAGTTATCCATGAAAAAAAAACATTGAAATAAAATTAAACTAGTAGTAACATGGTATAATAGTATATTATGTATCAAGTTTTATAAACGCCATTTTAGTTACGAGTTTAATTAAGCACGAGCGAAGCTTGCTAGCGAGTGTTTGATAAAAACGAGTGTCTAGAGAAGTTTATAAACGAGTTGCATACTATACTTTATCTACGACGAACACAAAACAGAATTTAAAGCCAATTTTATTTGTTAAAATTTTGACATCTGTCAACTGTCACCCGAATTTAACCTCACTTTTTCCCAATTTATAATAAAGCTAACTTCAGCCCGTGACGTAAAATGTCGAAAAGCCACTGTTGTTAACTTCAGCCCGTCAATAAAACGCCATAAAGTTACAGCTCGTCAATGTAGGAGTAGATAATAGTATATTATGTATCAAGTTTTATAAACGCCATTTTAGTTACGAGTTTAATTAAGCACGAGCGAAGCTTGCGAGCGAGTGTTTAATAAAAACGAGTGTCTAGAGAAGTTTATAAACGAGTTGCATACTATACTTTATCTACGACGAACACAAAACAGAATTTAAAGCCAATTTTATTTGTTAAAATTTTGACATCTGTCAACTGTCACCCGAATTTAACCTCACTTTTTCCCAATTTATAATAAAGCTAACTTCAGCCCGTGACGTAAAATGTTGAAAAGCCACTGTTGTTAACTTCTGCCCGTCAATAAAACGCCATAAAGTGACAGCTCGTAAATGTAGGAGTAGATAAAAATTCTTATGCTTAGGTTTGAAAAATAAAAAACGCAATTTAAACTTAAAACAAATAGAATATTAAAAATTCTCTACAATTAGATTTTCGTCACCTCTACTAATCCACCATTTATTTCAATACACCTAATAATTCTTAAAAATAAACATCTAAACATTTTTATCCGAAATCGGCAGTAAAGTAGTCAACAATCGGCAGTAAAGTAAAAGAAATCGGCAGTAAAGTAGAACTTTACTGCCGATTTAATGCGTGTATTGTATGCAACCCATTATACATTTTAAGATGTGTCTACTGCTCCTCAGCAGCAACTAAATAATATTTAAAAAAAGCACCGTCGTGGAGGTCGATTGGACCCTTTCATAAAATGTTGTTTAATAAAAATAATAAGTTAATTTTAATAAATAGATTAAAAAATATATAATAACCGTCGCAACAAACAGTATACGTAGACACTTCCTATATTCAAATGACATTTGATTTAACCATTAAATGACATTTTTTTTGGAGTTTACAGTAAACCCCAAAGAAAAAAAACCGTTTACTGAAACAAAAGGTTTACAAATCAAGGCCACAAACTGCACAGGAACTACGGGCTAGGGTAATACAAGCCTTCGCAGCCATTACTCCAGAACAACTACTAACGTACGTAATAGTATATTCTGTAACAAGTTTGGAATACAGCATATTCCGCTCGAGTGAAGAGTTTGTCACACGAGCCGAAGGCGAGTTTGACGGTTTCACGAGAGCGGAATATGCAATTCCAAACGTTTTTCAGACTATACTTTTTCTACGTTTCCAAAAAATACCATAGAAAAGTCATTTGATTGGAAGAAAGTGAGGTTGGATCGGTCTAAAATTTGTTAGATATTAAAAACAGAGATGTCGCCACGAGTGTTTATTCTGTCATAGGATGATAGAATATTTCATTCTGTAACACTTTACGGAATATATGTCATTCCATAGATAAAAGTGGTAATAGAACGGTCAAATTCCATAATAGGAGTAGAAAATAGTATATTCTGTAACAAGTTTGGAATACGGCATATTCCGCTCGAGTGAAAAGTTTGTCACACGAGCTGAAGGCGAAGGCGAGTTTGACGGTTTCACGAGAGGGGAATATGCAATTCCAAACGTGTTTCAGACTATACTTTTTCTACGTTTCCAAAAAATACCATAGATAAATAATTTAATTGGAAGAAAGTGAGGTTGGATCGGTCTAAAATTTGTTAGATATTAAAAACAGAGATGTCGCCACGAGTGTTTATTCTGTCATCAGATGATAGAATATTTCATTATGTAACACTTTACGGAATATATGTCATTCCATAGATAAAAGTGATATTAGAACGGTCATATTCCATAATAGAAGTAGAAAAAAGAATTTTTGTTTGTTGTTTTAAGTTTCCATTGCGATTTTGATTTTTCAAAACCATAGTTATAAGCATAAGAATATTTATATCATGGCGATTCCATGATTACTAACGGGACAAAAAGAAACAAGACAAAATGTTTTATAAATATTTTTGAAGATATGTTGTTCCTTCAACAATAATTTTATTATAGTTATTATTACTTAATTTTATTGCTGATATTGCTGAGAACTTTCATAAAATGAGTATAGGAACAACACATCAAAAATTTTGTTCTCTTTCTGTTGGTCCCGTTAGTAATCATGTAATAACTTGACAATCAATTTTTGAAAATAGTAATTATTGTGCATTTTTATTTGGCTACAAAATCGTTACTAAGAAGGTATACCTACCTAAAATTTTTCAATTAAATTTAGTATAGGGTCGTTTTGAGGGGTGGTGAATCCAGTGTCGTGCATAGTTTTTTTTTAAATCGCTAACATTAATTCTTAAAAAAAATGTTTGCTCCAAAAATACAGTTTATCAAGATCTGCACTTTAAAACAAATTCGGTTAAAATCGCACAATTAATAAAGATTTTGGTCGCAAACCAATGGGTCACACTGTATTAATAATCTTGTATTTATATAGGTAGATAAAAATTAGATTATTTTTTAAATTTTTAAACGCATCTTTATGAAATTTTAACACAACGTGTTTTGTGTGTTATTAACCTTTATTTAGTTTTTTTTAAATTTAATTGAATCAGTGGCGGCGAAAATATAATGGTTTAGAACAAACAACACGTAATTGATTGATTGATTGAACCAAAAGTATAATTTAAGCTTTAAAAAAATATATTAACAATAAAATTGAATACTTTTAATTTTAACTTGGTTTGACTCAAAATGTATAAATTTTGAGTTATAGAGACCCACTTCTTATAGATTTAAACATTTAAGGGGATTTAACTTACGTTTTTCCAGAAACATAGGTGACAGAGGTTCTAAATAAATCACTGGTGTAGTTTTCTCCAGCCGGTACAGCATCTTTTGTGGTGAAACTTAAAATTTCGATGGAGGCATCTTTATAGAAACTTTTGAGGCTTTTATCGAACAATTCTTTCGATATCCATTCCGGGATTTTCATGTTGAATTGCGGCGGATTAAACTGAGTATTTTAAATTTACGTGGTGTGGTTAATTTTTATTTTAAATTATTGTTAGTTCCTTCACCCTAATCTAAGTTTGATTAGTACTACAATATTTTAAATTAACAAAAATTAAAGTACATAACATACAAATCTCTCACCTGGTTATTAACATTAACAAAGCCTTTTCTTGTTTCTTGTTCTACACCTTTTTTGAATTGTTAACACAATCAACCAATACATTATTAACATGAAATAGATCCTTTTAACCCACCCCATTGAGTATGATGAATGCAATGAACAATTAGTAACAAAACACTAATGAAAAACTTTACCTTTCCGGTGATAAATATTTAGAATCAGTGTAAATTTTCAATCGAATGCACCAGTTATATATTTTATTTTGTGCGTGACTTTAATCATTATTATTGAACTTATTGGCTAATTACAGCTCTTTAGTTTATGCTGATGAGGTTGGGAGATAAAATTGCACATGTGTGGATTTTTGATTGACAAAAACAGTAATTTTCTACTCTTTTCCAAATCGGACAGGATGCAATTCGAAATAAAAGTCACGAGTTTAAATTGATCAAAATTGTTAACATTTTTAAAAGTCCCAGGTTAAATTACAATAGAAGTAATTGGTATAGTACTTGTGGTTATCCTGTTGAAATAACATAAATTAATTAACGATTAGTAGCTTTTTAGCAATATTTAATTTTAGCATTGTCTGAATATATGAACAAATGTGGCAAGCTATACTTTCTGATATGGGGTGTTAAAGATTCTATAGTGGTTATTTAAATCACAATCCACATAAAGTCTGTTCGATCTCGTAGTAAAAATACTAAAAATTACTGCAACACTGCACATCATCCAATGGCGGCCATTTTTGTTGTTAACAATTCTTGTGCTTTGGGTTTGTACAGATTAATAATCGTTTTAAACGTTGTGTTTCTTACAGAGAGACTTGCAAGCCTTAAAAGAGACCTCAAAGTGGTAAGAACAATCATTTTACTTCTCTTTTGTAAAAAATAAACCTTATTCTATCAGGGCTGTCAAATGTCAATTTGAAGGTTAATTTAAGGTTACTTTATAACCCACAATATTTATTGGACAATTAACATTAATACTGTAAAAACAACCCAACTAGCAAAGTTGCTTTATAATTTTTAACTGTCGCTGCTATTTTATTTTATAATTGCTTTATAATTGCTCTTCCAACACCATTTTGTTTTATTAAAATTGCCAGTAAAATATATAAGCTTTTGGAATAATTTTGCTTTATAAGTTAATCGTAAGAACGTTCTTAGAGCAAAAATACAAAACAGTTTTACGACAAATTTTAATACTGTTTTATAAACGCTTATAAAACAGATTGTATACGACATTTTAGCTTACCAAACAAATTTGTTTTATAATAGATTTATACCGGTGCTATCTGATACTAGGTCATTCGTTTGCGAACGTCTATAAAACTGTTTTATTAGAGCCATGCGAAACATATATAAAATTATTTTAATAAAGTATTATTGCTGACTAAAGCATATTTGCACTCAGATGGTATCTTTAAAAAACTGTTATATAATTATCATGAACGATGTCATAATAAAAGCTGTATTTAATAATTATAAAACAAATAAATGTTTGTGAGGATACAAACGCATTCCTTAATGCATTTATAAAACGTAGACATTTATATCCTAGATAATAAAGTTGTATGTTCTGTGGTATCACCAACATACACTGGAATACACTATAAAGGAAGAATGCCCAAAAAAACAAGAAGTTTTTCTGCTGATATACCAAGTAATTCCAATGAAAATGCTTTTATTCAAGGAGTCTTGAATAAGATGAAGATGTTATAAATAATTGAGAAGTGGAACTAGATGATTTGGATGAGGAAAGTTATTCTAATATAATTAATGCAGAAAAAAATACTGAGTTTGCAAATGGTATTAGAACGTGGGCTGTGTCTTTTAATGTCCCGCATGTGACGCTAAGGGCTTTATTTCAGCATGTAAATGAGGTTAGGTTTTTAAAACATAAGCAATTGCTTAAATGTCGCGCTAGACACAAATTAGCTCTGTTGTTGCTGCATCTATGACATATTTGAGATGAAATTATTTTATAACTGATGCAGCCGGAGCATTTATACAACATAGACATAAACGTTTTGTTAATGTTTTTTAAATGTACTTTTCAGGATAATTAATTCGAATAAGCTTTGTGTGCGCGGCTGTTTACTCCTGGGCTTATGTGCCATCTGGAGAGACGCATTAAAACTATAAAAACGAAAGCAAACACGATTTGAGAGTTCAGAGGCGGAGTTGGAAAATTTCTTATATACAGTAAGCGTCCTTTTTATTTTTGTTATTTTGTTTATACTCTGTCAGGTAAGTGTTGGCAGTAAGAGTGACCAATAAAAGTCGTCCTAAAAGGTGTGTACTGTACCATAATTTCAAAATTTGCTCGTTAATAATATTAATATGACTTTGTCAGTTTCTATTGAAATAACAATAACAAAATAATATTTTTGTCAGTTTTTTATCACATACCTACTTTTTATTGGCAACTCTTACTGCCAACAATTGAATTGTGACCAACGTATTAAAAAAATCGCGGGGAGTGGTTTTGGATGTCAAAGAAATCATAAGTTGTTAATATTTTCGAAAAAATCTCAAAATAAAAAAACTACTTTTTTGTTTTTAAAAGTAAAAACACTATTTTTGTTTTTTGAAGTGATTTTTTGCCATGATTGGGTGCTGGGGCTGGTTTGATTTTTTGTTTTCGTTCAAATTCATGCACACAAAACTTATTTATATTTTTTGCCAATAAGAAGTTTACCGATGCCAATAAGAAGTTTACCGACGCCTTCAATAGGGTGCTTACGCTTTGTGGTTATGATGCCTATTAATAGTAATTAATTAATTTTTAATAATTTTTTTATCTAGGTCCCCGATCGGGTGATGTTAAGTTATTTTTGCATTTCTTTTAGAAATTCTTGTTTCAAAGATATTTTTGCTCTCTAGAGATAAATTTTTGCTATAAAAATTTATTAATTTTTGTTAAAGTTTAAAAAATTTAAAATTTTGTTTTTGTTTTATTATATATTTTTTATGTGTTCTACATGTGCATGCATAAAAATTAATTTTGTTTTTTTTACATTAAAATAAAAATTATTCACATGTGATTCATTAGTGTTTTTACTTCTCGGGATTAATCCCGGGATCCCGGGATTCAATCTTTTTAGTCCCGGCAATCGCGGAATCGGAATATAGCTCTGGGATTGCAATCCCTAACGTGTATACATGGTTATTTTTCCTGCAGTACGCCTCTGTTTAACTAATATGTACCTATAATTTAAATATTTTATAAAAATCTTTCAAAGAACCAAAAAATTGTATAAGAACTGCCAAGGAGATAAAATTATTTTATAACGTGGAAGCCATGTTTTTTGTTGTTCCACTTCGACTTTCGACGTCCATTTTTAAATATATTAAAGAAAATCATTTTTCCAATAATAAAATGCTAAAAATAACTACTTAAGTATTTAGAAAATGGTGTAAGATGGATCCCTTAAACTATTTTATTACAATACAGGCCAAATGAGAAAAAAACACAGCATGATATTTTTAACCTTTTCTCTTAAAACTAAAAAATAATTAATATATTTGTGGCCCTTGAATTTTGTTCATTATATATCCCATATATTATACAAAAAAATTTCTTTCGCAGTAAAATATCAACCCTCAGACTGCAAATCAAATTTCTTTCATTCTGGGTGTACATATTAGAACTAAATGCAAAATGGCTGATGTATTTACTCAGACATATTTTATTTGTCACAAAAGACGCTTTTTGTTATCTTAAGGACCATTAAAAAATAAATTATTCTCAGTGGGTACAATTAAACAACAAAAGCTTACTTTTATAGTGTTAGTCAAAACAAAAAAGCTACCTCTAATGTAATAAAAGTACTTTTATAAAACTGTTTTATTGTAGCTTGACAATAGTTGTATAATTGCTATATCTTTAAAATACTATAACTGTCTTCGATAAAACTGTTTTATAACTGTTGCTAACTATATTTTATAATAATTTTGTAAATGTTTATATAATTGTTCGGTAAAAGCTATGGAAGCCATAATAAAACAAATTAAAGAACTAAATTGCTGCACAGGAGTGCGCCCTTTTTGGTTTTGTAAGCGTTGTATAAACGTTATTAAAACGTTTTTAGCGACATTGTTATTTTATAAAAATAGTTCTGTAAACGTTCTTACGATATTTATAAAACAGATAATTGTTAGTTGGGAAGAGTTCTATAAATAGTTACCTTAAAGTCAAATCATTAGATGACGCTGGATACAATTATATATAATATATAATATAACTATCTCAGTCGGTAATAATATAGAACTAGGTACTTTATTTTGGGACAAAAAAGTTCGCACGTTACTTTGGTGGTAAGATTTTTGTTTTTTTGTTAAGAGAAAGGCTGTGTTTAAATTACAATAAAAAATATTTCTAAAAAGTGTACAGATCAGTGGCAGGTTTAAACTGTCACTTTAATTCGTTTTAATTTTAATTCTGAAAACAAACAGTAAAATGGCCAATGTCCAATTACTGATTGGTAAAAAATGTAAATTTCTATTATTCGACATATTATGTCCAATATCATACTCTATTTGTATCCCGGACATTTACCAGCCAATTCCTATGTAAAATTGTCCCTTGAATCCGAAAAGCCCGTCAAAAACTGTAAAACTTAAGCAGTTTTTGAGATATGGTCAATTCCATATTATATGTAAAATTGATTATATTTCAAAAACTGTTCTACTTTTATAACTTTTGACGACATTTTCGGATTCAGCTAATAATATTTATAGGAATTGACTGCTAAATGTCCTGGATACAAATTGATGTTGACGAGAATTATTAGTGGCTGCTTTTTCGCTATGACTTTTGGAAAGTAAGTAATATAGTAATTTCTTCGTCACAGGACATTAGAATAACAGTGATTTAAATACAGTAAATGATAGAGAACATAAAAAACTAATGGCAACAAAATTAATAAATTCGGAAAATACTTTTAACATACCACCCGAAAAATTATTAGATATATACAAATCATCCTATTCCGGCATAAATAAATGCTTCACAAACTAGAGATAACACACTTTCACACTTTTCAACAAACTACCTATTTTTGAAGTCAGACCAAGAAATTAGTAGTTACCTTCAGAATCCAGAAAAGGGATGAGGAATCCGAGAAAGAAATATACGACTTATATGATATTTATAAAAACAAAATAAAAAAATTACCTAAAACAGCAATTTATCTTTAAAAAATATTTATTTC